GACCGTAACCCAGATGTGGTAGGCAACAGTGACAAATGCTAAAGAACCAAGAAAAAGGAAAGGCTACATTGGTGATTCGTTCTTAGAGACAGTGAAAGTCCACTGTAGTAGTGGCTGCACAACTCTGTACTGAAGGCCACTGACATGCACACCATTTCAAACAGGTGATTTGTATGGTATGGGAACCATCTCAATAAAGCAGACATATACACATGCGCAAATAGCAGAATCTTCGCATAAGTGCAGTGGGGTAGAAGTAAGACTACAAGGGGCAAGGACTGAATAAGCTATGAAACAGGTTATTCTTGTTTATTCAGCATAAAGGAGAAGGAAGGATGTCTGAAGCAAGAAGGGAAAAGAGCCACTAGAGGCTGAATAAGCCACTGAGGGGTTCACTGGCCAAGGGATCATAAAATGCATAGGTAAAAAAGTTAACCTCAGGAAGGAAGCTCTTTCTCTGAGACAGAGGGAAGGAAAAGTTTGAGGAAGATATTGGGAAAAACTCATTTAAGGGGGAGGAAATAAATCCTAAAATTCCACTGGGAAGTAGAGTGCCAAGACACCCGCTGAGACGACAGAGGCAGAGTGAAGATAAGGGTTCGGACCCAGTGAGGGTGAAGCACAAATGGAAGACAATCCCAGTCTCCCAGTGGATAAGCCACAAACAGATTCAAGCCTGTTCTGCCTTGCTGTCAGTGGCCAAACCCCATGCTAATGATCCAGCGTAGGTGCCTTTAGACTCCGGGGCCAAATCAACAGTACATGAGAGGAAGTGAAAATAAACGTACACAAATAGAATAAAAACAGTCCTCTGAATCATTCATTCCCCTGAAAAAGTTCTTACATCAGTTCTATAACCCTGTTCCCTATTACTCTTTAATTATTTTTTCACAAGACCCTAAAGTTATAGGTTTTCTCATTAGCAGCTCATGATTACCATGAAAATGACAGAGACGTTTATGAGCTCCACAAAGTAAAAAAATCTCTCAAACAAGCAGCATGTCAAAGCATTTTAAAGCAACATGTTTCAGGTATGTGCTTTGGATATGTCATTTTACATGATGAAAGAATAAATGCATTTTCAAATTTAGAATTATGGACACTTACAAGTTGGACACAACAGTAAAGGTCACTAACTCAATTTTCTCAGCTAGTACGGAAATTCTAAATAACAGTAATATTTGGTCACTCACTAACCTTCATCTGGCCACTTTCATTAATGGGATGTTAATCGTTTACCAGACAGCCTATGGCATTGCTGAGTATCAAGAACTAGTGTTCACCTTAATTCTTGTATTAATCTTACATTGATTTTTCTACCTTTCAACAACACTCTGACGCTCCTACCTTGCTCCTACCTTACTCCTACCTTTCAAGGCTTCAAAGCCTTGAAAATACCTTTCCCTTATCTGAGTGCCTTTCGAATACGTGAAGAGAATTTTTCCATTCCCTTCTCTTCTCCAGGGTAAACAAACATCTCTATCTTCTCAACATGGTTTTTAGGGTTTCAAGATAACCCCTAGACATTAGCAACCAAAATGGAAAACAGCACTTTTTATATGATCTTCATAGCAAATGAGGGAAGGGACATTCCTAATATTCAGCACCATGTCCATCGTGTGCCCACTGAGACACAGTATGCCTGCCAGCTATATTTTCCTATCCTCACAATTTATCGCGGAGAAAATAGAACCGAAGAGACATGAAACAACTTGCTTAATTCACAGAGGTTGTAAATGGCAGAGCCACAATTTGTCATTAGACGAAGATACTGCTTTCCCTCAATCTGGGGGAAGATTCTATACTTCACTTCCCTATATGGAACATTACTTTCTAGAATCCTTTTTTCAAGTCAGGTCTTGCTTATCTCAAATATGCGTCATTGAGTTTTTGTAAATTCAACCTGGCAAATGTACATCTTGTTAGTTTTGGCCTATTGTTTCAACCTTTAACAATTCTTTATAGTACGGCTTTTGAGTGCATTGATTAATCTGAGAAGCATGCCTCGTATAAAGTTGGTAATAAGAAAGTGCTAACCAGAGTAAGGGCAAGACCAGAGCCCTGTAGCTCATCTCTAAAGACCTCTCTTCAGGCTGACATCAACCCATTAATCAACATTTTGGGTTGGGTAATTGGACTGGATATAAATCCATCCAAATAGACCTTACCCAATCTACATTTCTCTCTTGTGTCTACTAGGATAGGAAGAGAGATTACGTTCAGCATCCTAAGGAAACCTGAATAGATCCATGTCTAACAATCCCTCATTCATCACCAGGGTATAGTAAACTTCTAAGGAAAGTAATTAGATATATGTCACCTGGCTTTTTTTAGTTAAAACTCTGCCAGTTTGAAGGAATCAGCTCTCCTCTCCCAAGTATTTACAAACTCTCTTTTTGCCCTCCCAACAAGATTCCAAAAACAGATTAGTAACAAGTTCTAGCGTCCAAGAGCCACCCATCTAACTGCTCTCTGCAAACACAGACATTTACCAGACTCCAGTCTTCTACCGTTAACTGTGCTTTTTGGATTCCTCAAAACCTATGAACAACAATTTTACAATTTTACCTGCAAGTACTCTGGTATATCATTTATCTGACCCTAAAAATATGAACTGAATTTAACCCGGTTTAATATTCTTTGTAATCTCCTCAATTACCTTGAACTTAATTCCTTTTGGTTGTTTGTCCTTACCCAGTTTTTACAAACAAAGCAAACGAAACATTTTTCTTCCTCAGCGAACTCCATGCTTTTGAACATAATCTCCTGAAGTAAAGTAGTTCATTTAGTAAGCCAAAACTATGACCAGTTTTTTATGACATTCAATTTTTTTTTTTAAAGATTTTGTTTATTTTTATTTGTTTGAGAGAGAGAGAATGAGAGATAGAGAGCACTAGAGGGAAGAGGGTCAGAGGGAGAAGCAGACTCCCTGCTGAGCAGGAAGCCCGATGTGGGACTCCATCCCGGGACTCCAGGATCATGACCTGAGCCGAAGGCAGTCGCTTAACCAACTGAGCCACCCAGGCGCCCTATGACATTCAATTTCAGAAGTGGCATTTAAGGACTTCATTAGCAACTAGAATGTTTCTTTATTGCTCGTTGGTGCAAACTACATTTTCAAAATGAAACAAATGTTAAATATGTTTTATGCAAGAATCAACTAAAAAAGTCAACCGATATGTTTGAATAATGCATCACAATATAATCAAAATGAAACAAACCCCCCCTTAAAATCAGATATCAATAGTGTCACTCTGAAGAAAATAAAATAATCCTGGATAACTCTTATATTTATAGTCAAGATTATTTAACAGGCAAGATCCTAAGGACACTAACAATCTTAACCAAAATGTCGATCAATACCACCGCTACTACCATCATTCAGCAATCTAGAAAGCTTACTATACCTCAGCAGTGTTCTAGGTGTGGAGGATACAAAGCTCCTCACAGAGTTTTCATTCTAGCAGCATCATGCATACAAACCTTTTAAGAGCGCCTACAATTGAGAGGCACTATGCTAGATATCTCTAAAGACAGATTTAGAGCGAGACACATAAGCATTATCAAGTTTACCTTAAAAACACAGAAGACCACACTCTCAAGTAATTGCTCTTGGAAGTCGTGCCTAACGTCGGATGATTTGGCGAAAGCACGGTTTAACTGCAATCCAAATTGAGGGAGCTTTATCGACCACGCTTTGTGCTGGTAACAGGCTAAGGGCTTCTAGATAAGCTCTAGACTTACGCCTCAACTTGCTAAGGAACAATTCCTTTAATAACAAACCAAACCCAGGAGAGGATCGGTTAAGGACCACGTCTCGGAAAGAACGAATCTAATCGCGGAGTGCTTTTTTCTCATTCCCAGTCCCACCCTGTTACACGGTTCTTCAGACTCCAAAGTCGGAGTACCCCAAATGTGGAATAATTCCCGAAGTCCCAGGCCTAACCACGATAGGGGCCCGCACGGTGCGAAATAACTGGGAAGATGTGGGTAGTTTGCGGTTGTGCGGCTCAGTGTGCGCGCGCGTGTGAAAAGAACCCCGCTCCTTCTCCCCACCTGCTAGAAAGTCCCCGAACCCTAGCCGCCCCTCACTCCGAGGGTCGCTGCCCGTTTTTAGGGTCCGCACCGACCTCCCTCCCTCGCGCCTGTTCCTCAGACCCTCTCCCGAAGCCCGTCCCGCAGCCCCGCTGTCGCCCGCTAACTTCGATTTGCACGGGGGATAGCGGAGCGAGGCGGAATCTGCGAAGGGAGACTCCGCCAGTAAGCGGAGGAAAGAGGTCATACCCTACGCCGACCTCCAAGTAAGCGGGGATGAGCGGCGCTGTCCGCGGTCCGTCGGTCACTCACCCCTCGCCTCAGGCAAGCCCCTTAACGACGTCTCTCCTCGCCGACTGTGGCCATTTTGGACACGGAATGTCGGGGAAACTACGTCATCGCGCTGCGACCGCGACGGAAAACAAGCGACCGGGCGCAGCCCCACCCCGCCCCGCCACCCCCAACGGTTCTGCTCGGCTTCCTCCCCAGCCATTGGGCCTGCGGGCCAGAGCGGTCTCGGCCCCCGCCAGCTTCGGGGTCACAATTGGCTAGGCTGCGCCCACGCCAGGCGCTGATTGGAGTACGGGCGACTCAGGCCCCGCCTCCCTCGTCTAAGTTCCGTTAGCACGTTCGGTTGCTCCCGAATTCCCTCTCGCCCCGGGGGGCGGGACTGACGGGATGGACCACCCCCGCCCCGGCTGGCTCCTCCTCCGGCCCGCAGCGACCACTGACCCGCGGGGAGGGGCCGGGGAGAGACCGGCGACACTTTCCTCTTTAGAGAGCTCTATTTTCTTCTGATTGGCTGACAGGCGCTCCCCATGCATCGGAGCCGCGGGCCAATAGGCGGCGGCGACGGCGGCCCGGGGGCGGGGCCCGGGGGCGGGCGGAGCCGGGTTGGGCCGCGGCGGCGGGGCCGTCTCAGGCCGCCGTCCCGCCCCTCCCGTCCGGCCGCCGCCGCCGCCGCCTGGGGGTTGGTTGAGGCGGACGGTGGGTCCGGGCCCGAGTGTGGCGCCGCCGCCGCTGCGCAAAGGGGGGCAACCCGGCAGGTGAGTGCGGGCGGCGGCCCCTCGGCGCGCGCGGCCCGCAGGCAGACTCGCGCGGCGAGGCCGTCCCCCGCCCCGGCCGGCGCCCCTCGGCCGGGGTCTTGCGCGCGCCCCGCCGGCCGCCCCGGGCCCGAGGTGCGGGGGGCGGTGTGCGCCCCGGGGTCCGGGCGGGAGGGCTGGGTGTGGGGGCCCGGCGGGTCAGGGGCGCCGCTCGGCCTCTGGCCCCCGGCTCTGCCGGTGCGGGGGGCGCGCTGGCCCCGGCCCCGCGGCCCCTCGGGGCGTTCGGCCGGGGGCGGCGGCAGGTGCAGGGAGCGCCGGCCGCTGGGCGCCCGCCGGGTGGGGCCCGGGCCGCTCTGGCTTGCGCTGGGCGGCTGGGCGGCTGGGCTGTGTGTGCGGCCGGCCCGCGCTCGCGCTCCCTTCCTTCCTTCCTTCCTTGCTTGCCCGCCGTCGCCCGGGTGAAGGCTGTGTGGCTTCTCTGTTGCGCTCCCCAAACCTCAGGTGCTCGCCGGGGCTCTCGGGGACGAGTCCCTGCTTCTCTTCCTCACTTTCCAGTTATAAAAACAGGCGTTGAAAATAGGTCATCTTTCTTCCCACGCGCCCTGGCCGTGGTCCACACGCTCGGCGCCCTACTAGGGAGAAGAATTCGGTGCTTTGGAGTTTGTCATTCTGGCCTTAAACTCTTCTTCCTCGCGGCTCCGGCCGGGCGCTGCAACTCTGCCTTTGCCCCGCTTGTCCTCGGGGGACGGTAGCCGCCGGGTAGCGGGCGCCACTCGCTGCGCGGCCTCGCCCCCGCCGCTTGTCGACACGTGTAGGATCACTTGCAGGGTATTGCTTTGCTTTTCCAAATGAAGGAGGTGGTGTTTGAAGAGCTAACATACTTTTGAAGTATGTTGACAGGTTACTTTTGCTTTTAAAACCCTCCGAAGAGTTAGCCGTTTAGCGATGAACCTGCTCATGGCTTGATTGTGGTGGTTGATTACGTAGCCGTATGCGTTTGTCACAACTCGTAGAAGTGGACACCAAAAAGTGAATTTTACTGTGTATAAATGGTATCTCTCTCCTGTTTTTCTTCTCGATGGCCCCACTGGTATTTCAAAATTGAAATAACCAGTAATAATCTTGGAGAGGTTTTTCTTACTATTTTAGGTGAATGCATTTAACTCAAGAATATAGCAAAATAGGGCTCCTGGGTGGCTCAGTCAGTTAAGTGTCTGCCTTCGGCTCAGGTCATGATCCTGGGTTCCTGGGATCGAGCCCCGCATCGGGCTCCCTGCTCAGCCAGGAGTCTGCCTCTTCTCCTCCCTGTCGCTCATGCTCTCTCTCGCTTGCTCTCTCTCAAATAAGTAAATAAAATCTTAAAAAAAAAAAAAGAATATAGCAAAATAAAAGCAGCTTTCCACTGTTAAAGTTTGGAAAGACTTTTGCTTGAACCATGATATATTATGTCTATGCAGGCTACTGTGCATGCAGTCCCGCCTTACCAAATTAGTCCCAGGGACTGCTGTGATTGATATTCTGGTCAAGTTCCAACAATTTAAGGAGGAGTTTTTCTCTGGCCCGAGAAAGTAGTTTGCAAAGCCAAGTTCTCAGACAGCTACAGAACAACCTCTTTATTGGAATTCCAAACAACCTCAGTTTTTAACCTTCTGCTACCCCTTCCTGTCTGCCCTCCTTTCTCTCAGTGTATTCCAAATTTTAAGTTAATGTCTGAAATGCAACTCTAGCCTGAGAGAGTGAAGTGGTTGCTGCTTCTCATTTCTTCAGTTTGCTGACATCTCTTGGTGCTTTTGTTCCTGGTATGGGAATGATGTTGGACTTGAAGATTGAAACATTTATGCTGTGGAAAGGAAAGTTTCTGTTCTGTTCTGTCAGTAAGAGTGCAATAAGATTGTGAATAAGAAAGTAACACTTACTGAACTTCTCTTCCATGTGGTGAAGGTTTTAAGTAGTTAAATCTTTGCTTTAGAAGCCCCTGGGAAATGAGGAAAATGTAAAGGTTGTACTCAGACATCTTCCCATTTTAAAGTTTAACCACTGGAAACTGTTTTTGTTATGAGCACTCACAACAGCCTCCTTAAAACTTGATGTTTTCATACCTAGAAGAGCATGAAAGATGACAGCTAGAGAAAAGTGTCAACATTAGCACAACAGAGGTCTGCTGGTACCAGAAATATTTAGTAGACAATTACTGAATTCAGTAAAACCAGGTACACAGTTTGTACTATGTGGAATTTTAGAAGAAGTGGGAGTAAAAATCTTACTAGTGGAGGGTTACTCTGGATTCTTTTTTACTAGATGTCCGTTTACTTTGAGGCTTTCCAGTTTCTTAAAATGTTTGAATTACATGGTCTCCTTTTTTTATCTTTAATCTGAAGTAGCTTTTAGAAATGTAACTAATCATAGTGTATCTTTATGTGTGTGTGTAGTTTGATGACTATCTTCCACTGGGAAGTTTTTTCTTTAGAAACTGGTTTGCTTGTCCCTGGCTGCTGTGTGAGGTGCTTCTGTTGGGGGTGGGGACGAAGAGTTTCAAGTGTGTCTCTTCTCCTCGTACCTAAGTCCTGGGAATGGAGCCATGATTTTGTTCTCCTGTTAGAGGAGCAAAAGCCATTTATTACTATGGCATTAAACATTTTTAACAAGACAGTGAACATATTTTTATTCTTATGACACTTGGGAAGTTGCTTGTGGCCTGTTGTTTTCTCAGTTAGCTAACATTATATTTGGGCCCATTATTTTACCATTGAAGACTATTTTGATTTGCTCTGCATCCTTTTTCTTTTGCTACAGTCGTAGATGTGTTTATTTTGGACATCAGTTCATTCCGAGTTCTGCTTAACCAGTTAAAAGTAATAAACTAAGGGTTCCTTGCTTTTACATTTTTCTAGGTTTCATTTTTGTTGCAGTCACAGGTGTACCTTACTTGGCAAAATTGATTTCTGTACATTGGATTTCCTGACATCATCTTGTTTTCCTAGTCCTAAAATTGGAGATGTTAAATATTTTGATCTGGAAATAGAATTAATTTGCATAATGTTTATTAAAGTAAAATGGAAATTTTCACAAAATATTAATATATATAATGTTTGTACTAGAAAGGAGTTGAGCTTTTTTTTTTTTTTTAAAGTTGCTTAATAGTGTTATGTAAAGAAAGCTTAGTTAGCAGAATTGGCAAGATTAGAAGTCCTACTTTTGTTGTTAAATTTATCCAGTAACTCAAGCCAGAGATTAGCTGTCGACTCTATTTCCATTTGGGGGTTTCCTCTAGGTTTTAGAAATAAACAGCTCTGAAACAAGAGGTGTAAACACAAGTATTGCCAATTTGCAACTGAAATAAATTTGAATGGAAGAAAAATTCCAAATGATTCTAAAATTCAAGTACCAAAGTTAAGACTTTGAAATTATTTCTTATTCTAGTACTTTCTAAGTAGAAGTTAATTAATAATCAGGATAAACCCAAGTGGAAGACAGGTCCAACCCTGAAGTTAAGATTTTGAAAGGGATCTGAGTGGTGACTGATTACCAAGCCAAGTAAGATCCTAGCCTGTTACTTGTCTAGCTTCAGTGATGGGGATGTGGAGGTTGGGTAGGGAAAAGGGACAGAGCAGAAGAAATGTTTTCACTCTTTTTCAGAAAGGACTAAGGAATTGTCCAGAGGATGTAGTTAATCAGGTGTCTACATGGAACTCTTAATAAATGTGCAGTGTTTTAGGCTTATTACCTATCTACAATCCTGAATTTCACTTTTCAGTTTTTTTTAGGATATATTTCGTTAGAACATAGCAAGGTCTAAAAAATTATCTGACTAAGTGGTTTAAAGGTTTTAGTCTCAGGAAATAGGCATGACTCTTCAATATCAATACTTTTCCAGTGAGTACAGTTAAAAGAAAGTAAGGATTAGTGTTGAAAAATAACCACTGAAGTTGCTTCTGCCATATTTACTAATGATTAACAAAGTTTTCCATTTGTTGATTGTGATGACTTAGCATTGCTACATGTCATCGTCACCTGAGTGGTTATTGCAGTTTCTTGATCCACGACAAGAGTGTAGCATTGCAAATCTCAATATGGGCTATGTGGGATTGGGCAGAAGTTTATTTGGAAGTTTTGCTCATGTTTCACATTTAAGCTGAGGCCACTCCTGTTTATTTGGACAAGGCCAGCAAGATGGCTCTATACTTTAAAAGGCCGAAGAGGTAAAACCTTTCCATAACATGTTTTACTACTGTAAGGGAATATTGTTATTTTGAACTTCAGAGGTGATAGCCAACCTTCCAAGCCTTCACAAGTGGGTTGGTTTTGAGGTGAATCCATGAAACACTATTGAGTATCAATAAAGTTTGCCATCAAGGTGTGTTGGTGAGGCTCTGCCACCAATTGAGCCTTCATCTTGCATAGAATTTATTAACCTCTCTGAACTTCAGCTTTCTCATCTGCAAGGTGGGTATAATATCTATATCTATTGTGTAAAATGCTTACCTCAGTTCCTGATATAGTAAGTGCCCGATTGATGCAGTTATGATGAAGATGATCAAGTTGGGGACCTGCTATAGACACTGTGTGGCAGGGATGATGGTTTCAGTAATCTGGAAACAATGTGATAGCATGAAAAATTGCATTTAGGTTCAGACACTCGTTTGATATAGCACATCTGTCTTGCTGATCAGTTTATGAAACAGGTTTTAGTTGATTACCATCTTACCCTAAAGGCTATGGGAGTGCGCATGTGTCACTCATCTGTGCATTTCAGATCAGATACTCAAGAAATGTGCACTGAACGATTGAATGCGCTCCTTTGTTTACCTGACTCGTAGGAAAGCTAGGGCAGTCTCCGGCATATTAGTAAGATCCCCTTGATTTGAGCTTCAGGGGAGGCGATTCCCACAGAGCTGTGTCCCTCTCAGAGCTCATCCAAAGGGTTTTGTTGCCTTGGGAAAAAACTGTTCACCAAGGTGGTTTTAAAAGTCCACTTTTGAGAAGGGATATGCTAAGTCTGGAGAAGA